TAAATTAAATTATAGTTTGGCCTAAATAAAAATGTGATTACATATGATGTGATTATATGAGAGATGACTATATGAAGGGACGACTGTACTAATAATAATAATACATAACACCAGAACTAGTGTTTTGGGCAAAACTAATTTTCAAAACTAGACCGTTTTGCGAAGAGAAGTTTTATTTTGCTTTATAAGCCTGAAACCCTCTAAAAATAGTTTCGCCCAATTGAATCCACAAAAGATATACAAATTTAAGTTTTGTTCTGAAATACTAGCCAGAACAGATATTAAAAATAAGGGTATTTACATTTATACTATATAGATATAGTCATGCTAGTCTGCATAATTTAAAATATTTTTGACAAATAATAATTATAGCGATACAATTCTAAATAAGAACTGAATAGCTCATATTAAATATTTGGATCTTAAATAATTACTAAACTTAGAGATTAAGGAACTCTCAATGTGATTTCAGAATTGTTTATAATAAGTACTATGATTAATTGAAGCATATCATGAAATATGAATACCGTACTATTCCGAAATTAAGCACCCTTTTTTTATTATTAGGAGTACTTATTTTTGAATATAATTTTAAGAATTAATTATAGGGGATTTTGTATTAAGTAAATATACCTTCTGTTTGTAAATAAAGCTATTCACCAGGCCAAGACTATTCTAATGGTGGTAAAATCATCAAAATTGGTCTGGTAGAATGTTTACAATTTATCTTCAAAGTTCAGGTAACGTTTTGTTTACATTTCGCTTACATTAGAGATTATATAAAAAAAGAAAACCTGAAATATTGCCAGAACTTTGAGAAGTAATTGCGAATGATCTATCAGACCATTTTTGATGATTTTACTACCGTTAAAATTGTTTTGGCCTGCGGAATAACTTTACTTAGAGAAAGAAGATAGACTTACTTTGAAAAAAATCAGATACAATTATACTTAGAAGGTGCTTATTTTTGGGTATTGTGCTAAATTTTATGGTGCTTAATTTCGGGAGTGCTTAATTTCGGAACAGTATGGTAATAAATTTTATCAAACTACTTTCACCAATTAAAAATTAGATCTGACTTATTGGTTTAGGAGTGTTGGCAATTTTATTGGCCAAAGCAATTTTGCCAGCCACAAAATAACCACTTCAACTAACTTTATTTCAAAAATCTCTCCTGGAATAGGATTACAAATTTGTGGGTTTAATTTTTGTGTCCAATAAAAAACATCCAAAATTATTATTAAAAATCAAATTTCTCATTCTTCTGAAACTTTAAATAGAGACATAAGTATTATTTTGAAATCTGCCTGAATTAAGCTTAATTTAGGTAAAATTTAAAATAATGTCTATACTCACTTTTTTAAGAATTTACAATTAATATGTTAATGTAGACCAGATATTATATTAAAGCCAGCTAGATAATTTTTTCTGAGATTATAGTAAAAATCCTGTATAGGCTCTAAAAAAATCATATGTATACTTATCTTTACTTTTAAGCCTAAACAAATTTGGTTTGCCAATAAAATTAATATATCCGAAAGAATATTAAATCAATATAAATAAAAAATTTAAGTGAAAAATTAATTAATATATTAAATAAGAAAAGTTCTAAGATATTTAATTGACATTATATAATAAAGAGTTTTAACACTTGTATAGCTTCTTTAAATACTATATTAATTTAAAATTTAATAGTTATAACTAATTCTAATTAAAAATTATAACTAAGTTTAATTAAAATTTAATATATTCTAATTATTAATTATAATTAATACTAATTAAAAATTATAACTAGTTTTAATTAAAAATTACAACTTATTCTAATTAAAATTATTACTAATTCTACCTAAAAATTATTATTAATTCTAATTAAAAATTATAATTAATTCTAATTAAAAATTATAACTAATTCCAATTAAAACTATAACTAATTTTTAATAAAGAATTATACTAATTCTAATTAAAATTATAACCAATTCTAATTAAAAATTAGAATTAATTCTAATTAAAATTATAATTTTCTAATTAAAAATTATAACTAATTCTAATTAAATATTATAATTAATTTTGATTAAAATTATAAATTTTATATTTTATTGCATATGCGATGTATCGCACCCTATAAGATCGTATATAACATGAAATCAAAACAATAAAATTAATTTGTTAGTTTAGGGTTAGGGTGAGGGTAGGGTTAGGTTAGTGTTAGTGTTAGGGTAGAGTGCTTTATCAAAGAGATTCTAACCCAAAATTTCGAGAAAAATTTTTTTTGTTAGAGTACGAGAGATAGTTTTATAGACAAAATTTTGTGCTATAGCTGATTTTTGAAGAAAAATCATAATCGCTTCGATTTCATATTACACCTGATCCTGCATTTTAATTGGTTGATCAGGGGTGGCGATACATCATGATGATGGTAAATTAAAAACTCTAAAATTATAACTAATTCTTATTAAATATTATAATTAATTTTGATTAAAAATTTTAACTAATTCTAATTAAAAATTGTAACTAATTCTAATTTAAAATTTAACTCATTCTAATTATAATTATATAGTTCACGTCACCTATAGTCACCAAATAATGCAGATCAGTCTGAGATTTGGATATCGATATCCATATTATGTAGCTAAAAAAAAAATAAATAGTTTTTGGAGTAAATTTTAAAAAGTCCCAATGTAAAAAATCAACAAACCTAAATTACAAGCATGGTTGATATAAATTTGATAGTAAACAAGCAAAAAGTTCTGATGTAGAAAATCAACAAACCTAAATTACAAGCATGGTTGTCGTAAATTTATAGTAAACAACTGAAAACTTCTGAAGGATTTAGAGTACTTTATCGGTGACATATTAATTTGTGTTCTGTATTTATTGGATCATGTAATATTTCCGGTCACTGATTAGATAAAATAAAATAGTCAATATCTGAATTTTGAAGATTATTAATAAAAATGTCCAGCATTTAACTTCAATACTTCATGAAAATAAAAAGGTATCAAAAAAATAATCTGTAAATCTGATTGAGAAACATTTAATTTATTATTTTTACAGTTAAATTTTTTAATTTTATTTTAATTGAAAGACTAGTTATTGTCTGAAGTTGTATAAATTTGTTTGATGACTATAGGTGACGTAAACTATAGCTAATTCTAATAACAAACTCTATTAAAATTATAACTAATTCTAATTAAAAATTATAATCAATTCTAGTTAAAAATTATAATTAATTCTAATTTAAAATTATAACTAATTCAAATTATAAATTATAACTAATTCTAAATAAAATTATAACTAGTTCTAGTTAAATATTATAAATTATTTTAATTAAAATTATAATTAATTTTAATTAAAACTTATAGCTAATTTTAATAAACAATTATAATTAATTCTAGTTAAAAATTTTAACTAATTCTAATTATAAATTATAATTAATTTTAGTTAAAAATTACAATTAATTCTAATTCAAAATTATAATTAATTCTAATTCAAAATTATAACTAATTCTAGTTAAAATTTATAATTAATTCTAATTAAAAATTATAATTAATTCTAAGTTAAAATTTTAACTAGTTCTAACTTAAAATTATAACACATCCTAATTATAATTATAGCTAATTCTAATAAATAATTATAACTAATTCTAGTTAAAAATTGTAACTAACTCTAATTAAAAATTATAACTAATTCTATTAAAAATTATAATTAATTCTAATTAAAATTACAGTTTATTCTAATTAAAAATTTTAATAATTATAATTAAAAATTATAATTAATTCTAATTAAAATTACAATTTATTATTGTAAAAACTATAACTAATTATAATTAATAATTATAATTAATTCTAATTAAAATTACAATTTATTCTAATTAAAAATTTTAATAATTCTAATTAAATTATAATTTATTCTAATTAAAAATTTTAATAATTCTAATTTAAAATTATAATAAAATTACAATTTATTCTTGTAAAAACCATAACTAATTCTATTTAATAACTATAACTAATTTTAATAAATAATTATAACAAATTCTAGAATTAGTTTTAATAAAATAAATTTAATTAAATTAGTTAAGTAACTAGAATTAAATCAGTTGGGAAGTGCCAATTTTAGAGGATTTGTGATTTTATTAAGACTAGAATTGAATTAGTTAAATAACTAGAATAGAATTAGTAAGGATATACTCGGATAACATCCTATCCCTACTAATTACGTGCTAATTAGTTGAAACTGAGCAGCAAACCACCCACAAGTTAATTTCTTGTAAATAATAAAATATCAATTCCTAATAATTTTAAATTCTAATACATTCATTTGTGTGTGAACACAAAACAGTGCATAAAATTAATATACGAGTGAAATCACAGAAATCTACCGCAACTTATAAGAACTCCATAGAAATTTATTTATTATGAAAAGAATCACGAAGTCAACATACATTGTGTTGAATTAAATATATAGTGTTAAAAACTTTATTTGAAATAAATTGTGTTAATAATGTGCTAAAAAAGTATTCTACAACACTACTACAAATTCACGTTTCCCCTTCATACTATCAATCATATCCAAGCCTTAGGTTTATAATTCCTACAATTTATATATAATTGATACACATACCGTAGTATAAGAATAACATACAAAAAAATCCGCTATAGCATTTTTGATAGGTAATATTATCTTGCTTCGGTTGTCTGTATATAAATAATCGAATACAGGAGGCAGCATTTAAAACTATAAGAATTAATTCAATAATGCTAAATTCATGCAGTGCAAGACCATCATTATCACCACCTTCAAACTTTTTTTCAATTATAACCCGTAAAAAATTATTTGAAATATGGCATATAACGAGTAATGATATAATTAACATTAAAATTGTAAACCATCTGCAAATATTATCACCTATAAGAAGGGGGAATGTCTTACGACCAATAAACTTATCACCCTTCTGATCTCTAAAATCTTGAACATGAGCTGTAGTCATTGCGAAAAAGAAAATACCCAACATAAACATACCTAGCTCACTATTTAATAATTCAAATATGCTAAGTTTAGTACCAATGATGATATAATGGCAGCTGACAAGTTGAATACAAGCGGAAAAGGCTGAAAATAAATTTTTATAAAATGCATTTTTGCTTAGCTTGAGCGCCTCATTAAAGATAACCCAAGCTTGATACAGAAAACATAAAAAAACCAATGATAGACCACCAAATATGTATGCTATAATTGGAAAGATAATGCTGATAGCAACTAGACGATATCTGGCGCCATTGACAGTTATAAGACCAGAGGGGATTGGACGAAATGGTTTATTTATTCGATCTTCTTCCACTGAGGTTATTTGATTAATCCTATTGTAACAGAATAACAGTCATTAGTTTTATAAATATAAATTGATTTTTTTATATTCAAAGTACAATACATGCCAATTAAAAAATAACAGAAAGGGTGTAAAATATATAATAATGCGAAATAAACACGGAAATATAATATATATTACGAACTCGAGAGGTTCGTCATTGTAAGTGGCAATAGAACCAAAGACACGCATGTAAAATGTACCTGAATATATCGCAAGAAATTGATTGTTAATGTTTGATAAAGTTTATTAAATATGTTTATTAAAATAGTATCATCATTCCTACATACCAATAGCCATTAGCATTGGAGGAATTATAGTCGTCATCCAGTCAGAAATAGTTGCATAATACATGATAAGAATTTCATGACGAATAGCGAGTAAAAGAGATAAAAATCTTGTCATAATTTTGTTACTATAATGATACTAATTGTTGAAGAAATAAGAACAATAATTAACTATAATGTTATTAAATAGATAATTTTCAGTAATGATAATGCGAAAGTCATCATTATATATAGTTCCCTGGGTCCACAGTCGGGTAACCCGGGTAGCATTTTTTTTTTTTTAGGCGGGTCCAATCATTAGGCGTAACAATAACATGACGTTATATTTAGAGATGTGCCTCTCGCGCGACACATCTCTAATTATAACGTCATTTCATTGTATCTCTAGCTATTAATTAGCTGAAAAATGGCATATGAAATTTCTAGTTGCTTTTAAGTAAATCTTGGAGATGGGCAACCCGACGGGACGATGATTTTATGCAAATCACATAATATTGCTGAAAACGCATAACAGGTTAGATTTACCGCATAATGTTGCATAAAATATGACACTATTAAGTAATTATCGCATAATTGGCTCTAAGTGCTATCCAAAAGAAAACCAATCAACACAAATTACGAACTAGGTCGAGAAAAAAATTGAAGGTAAGTTCCGAACTATTCCAAAAGACAGCTTTTATACTAAGTTAGTTATAAAATGGCGCATTTTATGTGTAAGACATAGCATAATAATAAATTTTGGGTGCAAAATACTCACATAATAATTCACTTTTGTTGCATAATTGATAGTTTATTGTCGATCGTCACGTGGATTACTTTTTACGATCACTATATCAAGATCACGGGGTATTATTATTACATATACCCGGGTGCTCACGGGTCCACTCGTCGAGTTACCATTTTTTAGACGGGTCAAATAACTAGTTACAGCTATTATAATAAACCCTGAGAGATTTATTATAAAATTAACTGTATGATTTTTTGGCCGACTCGATCAAGTAGTGATTACGGCAAAAGGTGGCTAATAAAATATTATCAGGCTACATATTCATATCTCCAGTTAAATAAAGAAATAAGGTACTTTCAATGTATCTTGGCTGACTAATAATTGAGAAAAAAAATAGAAGGTTTATCAGCTCGAAAAAACTCCAAACACTTAAGCGTTAGCAAATATTTTATAAGGTTGGTTCTTAAGCATTTTTAAAAGATATGGATACGTTGAAAAATTTTCGTCGCTTTTCGAAACCCATGTTTTTCGGCAAATAATAAAATGATTATTTGGAATCTCAACTTGAGTTACAATTTAACCAGTCGACAAATTCTAGAGTTCGATCCTATTTTTTAGAGGCGATTCGGATTAAATTTGGTCTTTTTTGATTATTTGAATAATCCCGATTCGCATAACTAATCATCAACCAGCAAAAGTTTGATGATATATAAAGATGCAAATAGGCATAAATTATGGAACATTTGAGAAATTATTGATACCGAACCAATAAGTTTTGAATTTAGTTAGTAACTTGTACATTGGAAATTTTTAAGTTTTTTCGGAATTTATGAAAACAGCTGTAGTCTATTTTTATTATAATATACGCGCCGACAAACCGTTTGCATCTCTTTTCAAATCTATCCTCTAAAACTTACAGCTGCTCTCATAAATTTTGGGACATCTGGTAAAAAATTGACCGAATGATTTTATGCCGATTCGATAAGTTTA